TAAAGTTGATGGGGGGCATTCGTTCTTCTTGCAGAACAAACAAATATCTTAACTGTAAATTTATTTATACTAATACACAAATCTGAAAGATTATTAACATCACTATAAATGCTGTAGGACATATATATATATATATATATATATATATATATATATATATATATACATATATATATATATATAGGACATATATATATATATATATATATATATATATATATATATATATATATATATATATATATATATATATATATATATATATATATATATATATATATATATATATATATATATATATATTTATATATATATACATATATATATATATATATATATAGATATGTATATATATATATATATATATATAACCAATCAATAAAAGTGCAACAAGTTTTGATTCAAAAATAAAAATGTGCTTTTATTACGGAATGGCTTCGGCATTAGTGTAAGATTTATATAGCAAAGTATTGCGTCGAATACTACAATTGAATTATCGTGAAAAACCGATTTGGAAATCTGAATTTTTAACCCCAAAAAAACATTTAATTAGACTTAATGTTGGCCCAACAGTATAAGTTTGCCACTGTTTAAACTTACGTTCGGTCAATGTGTATTTTATAATATATAATGGCTGGAAAGTATGTTATAAGATTGTATGTTATAAGATTATAAATTATACACACACACACACACACACACACACACACACACACACACAAAAAAAAAAGAGCTATTGAACGTTATACAAAATAAGCTTAAATGCATACACAGTTTTAACAGTATTATATCATAATATTAGTAGCAATTTAGAGATTTACAAACGTAAAATATTTGTATGTAATTAGGAAAACTTTGAAAATACAGGGCCGACGACACGGGTTTTGAAGTGTGTATGTGTGTGTGGGGGGGAAAGTAGCGGGAGGAGGGCCCAATAAAAAAATTCCTCTATATCAAGATTTTTCTTAGAAAAAAAAAAAAGGTCCTTTGGAAAAACAGTGTGTGTGTGTGTGGGGGGAGGGGGGGAGAGCCCCCAACAACACAGGGGGTCTCCTTGGCCTCCCCCCCGTGTTGTCGGCCCTAAAATACCAAAAATCGAAAAATACAAAATATGATATTTATTAAACTTAAAAGAAATGTTATCAAAGCAGTTAACGAGTTTTTCCTTATGAGTCGTTAACTGCTTTGAGAACATATTTTTTTAAGTTGATAAATATTATATTCTATAAACTCGATGCTTGGTATTTTTAAAGTTTTCCTAATTACATCCAAACATTTTGCGTTTGTAAATCTTTTAAATTGCTACTAATATTATGATATAATATTGTTAAAACTGTGTATGCATTTATGCTTATTTTGTATAACGTTCAATAGTTCTTTGTGTGTGTGTGTATGTGTGTGTGTCAATAAGTACTTTAAACTGCATATTTATAAAATATAAAGTCTAAATATTGTATTTTTAATTTAAAGCAATCAATTCAACCCAGCATTAAAGACTTTTTTGAAATTCGGCCGCATTAAGGACGCAGCCAGATATTGCTCAGTTTATCCTAAATAACTAGATAAGTAAGTTGAATGGAGTCCCATAATAGCCTCGAAAAAAATATCGAAAAAATAATAAAAAGTATTTTTTTTTAATATGTCATATAAAAAAAGAATTAGTATAAAAAAAAGTATAAAATTTTGTAATTTAATAAGCTATATAATCTTTTTTGATGTGCTAGAACCCAAAAAAAAGCAATTTAAAACTGTATATATGTACTTGTCAAAAAATGTAAATTAAATAAGCAATAGAGAAAACAACTTGAAAGACCTTCTAGCTTCTTATTTAAAAAACTTTGAAGAATAACCTCCACAGATTTTAGTCAGTGTAATATAGCTGCAAATTGGGTTTGAAATTAGATAGCATTAAAATATTTTCCGAAAACGTTGCCAAAAATTCGCTAATATTTATATTCTGAAAACGTCACACGACTAAATTGCCTACTCATATAATTCATGAATTATATGAGTAGGTGATTCAGTCACGTGACTTTTTTTCGTGTGACATAAATATTAGCGAATTTTTTGGCAACTTTTTCGGAAATTATTTTAATGCTATCTAATTTCAAACCCAATTTCCATTGAATTTAATGTAAAGTTATATAGTTTAACATTGACTAAACGGACAAATAAACTCTGAAGATATGTTTAATTTTTGATAAATATATTATTTAAATAACTTTTTTAGCAATATGTTAGTATCGCGGTGCAGATTATATTAAAATAATATTTTATGTTAATGCATTTTAACTATTGTTGTTGATTATTATAATACTATTTTTATTTAATAACTATATTGTTGTTAATTATTTTTTAATCGAAGATAAATCGGTTATATCATCCACTAATAGAGCCGGACTCTAGATAAATCAACTAAAATTTAGATCAACTAATATTAATATAATTTTATATAAGTCTATAACATCACCTGAGGGTTTATGTTATAGGCTAGGCACTCTCATTCAATCAATAGAAAAGATTTTTTAGATTTGAAACTTTAAAAAAATAAATAAAAATAGTGTTGCGTCGCAAAACTGATTTCCCCTCCTCCTGTAACAAATCGTCACAAAATTGCTAACCCCCTCCCCCCATAATATGTGAATTTTAATGCAAAGGTTCTTTTAACATAATTTTAAATTATGACAAATTTTTATCACTTGCTGATATCTGCTGATATTAGCTTAAGTAATAAAAATTCTTTTTTCAAAATTAATTATTTAAAGCGACACAAAACCAAAGTCTTTTTAATAGAGTTTCTGTTTTTCTGCAGCATAATAGATATAAAGTGTTTCTCATATTTTAAAAACTTCTATTTATTTACGGTGGACCTGGACTCGGTGGACATGCCACACAAATTGGTGAAGTTCGTAAGCATCTAAGATTTGGTAAAGTTCGTAAAACTCCTTGGACCGTATTTGGTATTTTGCAGAATAGTCGCTAAAATTTATTGTTATTAAAATTTATTGTTATTAACTAAAAGTTATTGCGCACCATAAGGAATTCGTATTGAAAATAATTAAGACAATAAATTCGCATTAATGTATTTTAATACAGAAAAACTTTTTTGAAAAAAATTTTAAAACCTAAAAATACAAAATATAAACATAAATATTCAAATCTTATTCACTCTATTTAATACTTTTAAAAACTTTTTCTCCACAATATATAATCTCCAAAATTTCACCCGCAACAGTTTACAAAGACACGTTCTTAAGCATGCATTGGTAAAGTTGGTCCAACTAAATAAATGATTCATGCTTGCTAGAAGAAAAAATTAATACAGATAGCTTCCCTTTAGATATTTTCAATATTACATGCTTGGATTAGGTTCTATGAATTTAAATACTTTTCACATAGTCATTAATAATAGAAGTTAAACAGCAGCCAATAGAAATGCTATGCTAAGTAAAAATAAGTTTTTTAATATAACCATTTAATTACAGTGGCAATATAACATTTGATACACCCCATTCTAAATAGTAAATATACGACAAGAACATTATTCATATTTTCTTGAAGACGTGCCTTATATATATCAAATAACAAGTTGGTATGTCATGTATGAAAACACAGCTTTTAATTAAAACCAATTAAACACACAGTTATTCAAAATTTTAAAATACCCTGCTGCTTCAACAGTCTCATCTTGTAGCAAAAGATGTAAACAGGCACAGCTGTTAGTAGTTATTGCACCCTAAATCATAATTGGTGGGTATTTCTTAACAAGTTACCACATTTTAACAATCAAATCCTTGTTTTTGAAAAATTTGAGGCAATGACTAGTATTTTTTTCAAAAATTATCAATACAACACTGTTAAAGATTAGGTGCAGAGGGTGCAGAGAAACAAGTTAAGTGCCCCTCTTGCAGGAACAATAAAGTTCAAGCAAGTAAGGTTTTGAGAATATTTTTTTTCAAATTTACTTTTGCACTTATATTTTACGTTTTTTGGTGCATTTTTTGCTTCATCTCAGTAAAATCTAGCATTAGAATTTTTATTTGTATGTTTAAATGTAAAATAAGACTCATTGTCAATTACAAAGTCTATGAGTACATTTAATGCAATTTTCTAGACAATTTTCTAGTTTGCATTTCTACATTATCAGTATTACATACAGTACAATTCATGTGATCTGTTCTATTACATATTACATACAACTATTTACATACAGTACAATTCATGTGATCTGTTCTAGATTTTTTGCAATGCACTCTGATTCTACTGTTTTTACAATGTAAAAATAAAGGTTTCTCTAGATAAATCAACTAAAATTTAGATCAACTAATATTAATATAATTTTATATAAGTCTATAACATCACCTGAGGGTTTATGTTATAGGCTAGGCACTCATTTAATCAATAGAAAAGATTTTTTAGATTTGAAACTTTAAAAAAATAAATAAAAAATAGTGTGGAGGAGGAGGAGGGGAAATCCTCCTCTAATGGAGGAGGAGAGGAAATCAGTTTTGCGTCGCAAAACTGATTTCTCCTTCTCCTCCTCCATTCATGGACGTAATAAAAGTTATTACGTCCATGAATTTAATAAAAACAAAATACTTTATAGTCTTTTTTGAATTTAATAAAAACAAAATACTTTTATATTCTTCTTTTTATCTCACTAACTCTAAACAAAAATCTCTCTATATGTACAAAGTTAAAAAAGTCCCATTACGATACTTTTATTTACAATTGTCATTAAATAATAAAATTACGTGTGACTTTCAACACGCACCTACATGATTTCTAACATGTATAATTAGAATTCACTAACTTTAAAATAGAATACTTTTATATTTACCTTTGCTTTTAATTAATTCAATTCTTTCAACAAGTATACATTTGTTATCAATTTTTGTCAAAAAATTTCCTAACATTAGTAAGTTTTAGTACATTTTTCTGTTATCAGTTATTTTGATCTATTTATAATAAGTTTAAAGAAAGTATTTTATTTTACATAG